CTGCAGCGGGCAGGAACACACAATCACTAGACACCCGTCACATCTAAACACACACACGCGCACGCACACACACACACACACACACAGTACAAATGTACAATTATTCATTATAAGTAAAAACCTGAGTCATGGTCAATAAGATGTCAAGATGAATGGGAACTAAATATCTTCTTCTTTTCTGTATAATGGGAAAATAATGAAAGTCTTTGTAACATTTTAGCTAATCTTAAAAGCAAAACTATGAAAGACGATTATGGCCAGACATAAGGGAAAAAAGAAATCAGAGGAGGAAGTGTTTTTTTACATCTCTTGTTTTTGGCCTTAAGAGAATACATTTGAAATATAGATATGTTTAACTTTCAGTATTGAAAATGTAACGTTTGAAAATAAATAGCCTACAACTATTATAGCCTATTCATCACCGCATACACTTTGACCTCTGTTGTACACATTTTAACTTTATTCTCAAAATGCAAAAAACTCCTCTCAAAATGTTTGAGTTGAACCACCGCGTGGCAGGGGAAAGAGGAGGAAGCTAATGGGACGAAGGAGAGTCCTCAGAGTTCATCCTCAGAGGTCAAATCCATCCCTGAATAATACCGGAGAACACTTCCTGACAGCAGTCTGCTACTCACTGTACTTCTGCTGAGTTGAATCAAAAGAGAGATATTTTAATCCAAAACACCAGTGGGTGTTTATCTAGCCTCCAAGGACTTCATTAAAACAGTCGGACTTCATGATTTGGTGAAATAAAGTCCATTTAACTGGTTGACTCACTGAAAAACTGTACTTAACTTAAATGAACTAAAATACTGTTGGTATCACACAGGATGGTGGATGGTGATGTTTCTAAGAGGGGAAGCTTACATTAAATAATGATATCAATTAAAGTCTGAAATCACTTGCATCAGAGACTGCAGCTGTCTTGTCAGTAGGAGAGAGTGCATATGTAATAAGTTCAACTGTTTTAATAACAATCCGTTACAACAAAAATGAAAAATATATGTGTGCTTTACCCAGGTGAATGTGAGTGACAGAGGGGAATCTGCTCTAATTGTCAGGTGTTTCCCTCCAGATGGAGACTGATGCGCTGCGAAATAAAGCACGTGCAAGGAATGAGTTTCTTTCAGAAACTCCTAACAGAGAATACTCTCGCGCCGGGGTCGCTTACCTGTAATTGTCCCACTCCCGTCCCGCACCTGAACGCCTCTCAAAGCATCGGGGGGGCTGCTACAATCCACGGGGTGGTCCGGGAGACATTTGGTCCTGGATTTGTGGGAAAATTCGGGAGTGGTGCCTCTTTCTTTGAGGAGGAAATCAAAGGGCTCTGTCAGAATCAGACACGAGAAACAGCGTGGACATGTCCGCGGGTCTCGTGCATCCACACCTCGCGCCTGTCTACCGGTGTGTCCCCCGACAGCTGCTGACTCTGTATCTCAGCTTCAGTGTGTGGTCAGTCGGAGATGAAATATTAATGTCTCACGCTCCTCTCTGTGCAGCGCGCGCTCCGCCGCCTAGCTCCGTCTGCCCGCTCCAAGTCTCGCGCGCTAACTTTATGAGACTCCGGGGCGCAGCGCCGCTACGCAGTCGCTCCCGCCTTAAAGTAATCTGATTACTGTCAAGGACTCCTGCGAGTTAGGGTATAACATGTTTTCACAAGGACTGACACTGACACAAGTTTGCGTTGTTTCCGTTATCCCCTGCAAATGAATGAAGATCAATCATAATGACATTTGATATGATAAAGAGAATAAAAAAAAACGAGTGATGTTATGGTGTTCACAAACTACATAATCATAAGACTTTAAGGCTCTGTTTTAGGAAAAAATGAATACATCAGAAAACACAATAAAACCAGAGACACAATTCCTCATTCAGGAAGTGGTACAGCAACATGTTGTATTAAAGTCCAGCTGCTGGGATACAGTGAATTATTTATCTGAAATTGCAATTAAGTGATCATTTGACATAGGATGAGCAATTCTATCTGAAGCAAGTCATTCCCAAAATGACTTGTTTACATCTTCCAGTGTTTAGAGCAGCAGCATGCTGATGATGACAGCAGACTCCTCTCACTGACACAGTGCAGTACTGCCTCCCTGTGGACACTTCCGGTATTATACCAGCCTGTTCCTGACACCTTCCTGCAGAGGAACAGGAAACACTGGAAAAGGGTGGTCATTAACCTTCAGTAACATTTAAACATACTCCACTCTAAGAGAACATAGTTTAATCAAAAATGTTTATTCCATTGTGAAAACATTCCTGTCACACACGCACACACCCAATTGTCTTTTTACAAACAGCAACAATTCCTTTATAATGCAGGTGAGGAGACATTAAAATCATCAAAGTGACAGAAGCTCAGAGTGATTGGCTTTTGCAGTTCATTTGGAAATAAAGGGGAACACGTAGAGAGTCTCTCAGCTCTGTCCATAAGGAAATCACAACACATGATGCCCTTTTATTTATCAACTCTGTAAAATATTCTCCTAAGGCAATGAAGAGAAACAGTTGAGTCTTTCTGAGTGTGACTGATAGAGCGAGCCTCCACGCGCTGCAGGTGCAGCGGCGATTGTTCACGCTGCTTCTGAAAGGCATCAGCGGCTGTAGTAGTAAAAAGTTCATAAACTCCATTTCCCAGAGTTCCTCAGCACTCCTCTTTGATGTAGATTTGTTCGTCTGTGTCTGACTCCAGGTTCTCCAGCCGCTCCGTCTGTCCGTTCATGATCTCATCGGGGGTCTTCATGAACCTGAGGGACGCCACACAGAAACGACGGCTCATTTATCCACATTGATGCTGTAAACTAGACAAACTGATGATGGTTCTGTCTTTAAGAGGCTTTACCTGAACAGAAGTCTTTGTCCGGGCTCTTTCCTGATGATGTTCAGTTTGTAGTAGTGTCTCAGTGCTCGCGACATCTTCTCGTACGTCATGTTGGTCCTGTTCTGTTAGGGGGAAGACAACAGCAGTGTTATTCATAATAATAATAATAATAATGAGATGCAAAATTCGATTTTTCTTAATGAGCTTTCTGTCATTTAAAGCTGTCACATGGGGGCAGACCTTTCATTTGACATGGTAGATCAATTCTGCTCACCCAGAAATACCTCTCACCTGCAGTGATACTCATCAGCCAGTCTTCTCTCTAAAACTATGGGAAAGGGTAGCACTGGCTGCTAGATCGAAATACATTTAACCTCTTTCCAGAGACCAGTTACCTAGGATATATGCTTTCTGCGCATTGATGTGGTAGAAAGAAAATAGTTTGTACATAAACTGCTCCCAACAATGTCTGTGCAATATGTTGAATAACAGGGTCATGGTTTCTGAAGCCATCTGACTCCATTATATTAGAGAGAAGTCAATATCTCCACCACGAGCAGCCTCACACCAAAACAACCTAGATACATGAAAACTATGTTGTTTATTTTGGGGGGAACTGACCGTTAAATATAGGACAGTTTGATCAGTGCAGCCTTCTATTACGGTCAAAGTCATTTTGAAGTGTGTTCTACCGATACTAGTTTCAACAAATTCCCTAAAAAGCAACGTCACAGTCTTCTTCCAAGGTGTTTATCAGGAAGACTTACATCATGACGGCGATAATAAAAGCCATATCTAGTTCAGCTCAAGCATACAGTCTGTGTGCTCCTGTCATTGCATGGCCTCATCCAGTGGCAACATTCATATTATATTATTATATATATTATACGGCTCTGAAAAGATCTGAAAATAACCCGCTCCAGCCAGGTAAGTTCTGCAGAACAATCACCAGAACTCTCTATCAAGCCTCACAGTGTGTGTGTGTGTGTGCGTGTGCGTGTGCGTGTGTGTGTGTGTGTGCGTGTGCGTGTGTGTGTGCGTGCGTGTGTGTGTGTGTGTGTGTGTACCTTGTGGTTCCCCCACAGCCTGGCAAGGCCGTTGGGGTCCATGATGCGGAACACCTTGCTCTCCGTGTCCTCCCAGCGGATGTAGTTCTCGTACCGGCTGTTTGACAGGAGCTGGTAGACGTAGTCCCACAGCAGCCTGCAGTCTGAGGACACACAACGTCTTTACCCACCATGCTTTGCGGTAAGTGATAAATTAATGAGGTCTGAAGTGTCTCCTCACATGTGTGAAACAGCAGCTTTGACCTTTGACAGGTAAATCTCACCTGCGATGCGTCCAATGGGGATCTGCTGCTCCTCGGGGGGGGACACGGGCATGATGACGTGGTTCCTGTAGAGTGCCTCCTCCTGCAGGAGCTGCTGCTGGGACAGAGACATCTGAGGGTGAATGCTGTGCCCCTTCAGCTCCCGCCCGTTCTCCAGCGCCGCATGAGACGAGGGTCCGCGGTTGTGCCTGAAGTCCATGGCGGCCCCCCCGCCGCTCCTGCTGGGGCTGAGCAGCAGGGGGTTCATGATGGTGCTGGGAATGAGCTGGATGACGCGAGGAGGGCCCGCCTCCTGGCCCCCGGGGCTGCCTGGGCAGGGGTCTCGGGGCGTGAGGCAGCGGCCGTTGGGGGCAGCGGGGGACACTGACAGGGGGTACATCTCCTCCTGGGGGTGGTGGTTGCTGTCGGGCAGCTGAGAGAAGGTCTGCAGGTGGTCATCTGTGGCTGTGCGGGGGGGGTGGGGCTCCGGAGGGGACCGCCTGGGAGTCTGAAGGTGGGGGGAGCGTGCGCGGTGGCGCAGCTCGATGGTCGGGGGGTGCTGGGGGAGGGGCTCTGAGCCACGAGGCGCCCGTCGTACCGTGTCTGAGGAGAACATCACAACACGAGGTTAACACAGCAGCAGCTCACACACTGACAGCCAGTGGTGAAGAGTTTCTGTTGAGCAATATTCTGATCCTTGGTTTATTTTATACACAGTCCAAGACTGGTAAAGTGAATCATTACTGTTGTGTATTTCATAATGAGCAGCCTATAGGTACATGAGAAATAGGAATGCACCAACAAATATAAATAAAAAATAGTTAAAAAGTTCAACCCTAACTCTTTGATGCTTTTACTTTATTTTTTAATTATACATTTTATTTGTGAATTTCGTGTTTGCTTCTTGATTTGTCCTTTGAGCTTATGGAGAATATATAAAGCCATGATGTTTTGTGCCTGGCATTATATTAGACAGTGTGTGATGAAAGACGCAGGGCAGAAGGGGGCAGCAGAGAGCTGGGCCTTCTGAGTGCTACAGGCCTGCCTCTGGTTGAACCCAGGTTCAGGAAGCACTTACCCCCCACCACCCTCTGAAAAGACATCCCCCCCACCTTCCCCGGCTCTAGTCTTCTTTTCAGTGAAATTAACTCAATGGTTTTTATTTTTTTGGACATCACTTCTGCTCTAGGAAAAGATGATTTGTGTGTGAATAGTTTCTCTGTGTTTGCTCTGCAAGGTGTGCCCACAGTGATCACATGCTGGCTGTCAGCAGTGGTGGAATGTTACTAAGTACATTTACTCAAGTACTGTGCATGAGTACAAATGTAGGTACTTTCACATTATGCTACTTTATATTTTTATTCCACCACATTTTGTAGGCAAATATTCCCTACTTTAACCAAGAGCAACATTGAAGTAATGAAGACATTGATTTGTCAATAACTATAGTAAAATAATGTCAAATGTATGATTAAATGGATCAAGGTGCTTATTAAGCATTTTACAACATATACCATAACATGCCAAAGTGCTCTTTTTTTACGTTCAACACTATTAAAATCAAAAGGAGAAATATGAACATTACTTTATCACTGATAAAATAATGTCAACATTTCACAGAGTTTACTGAGCTGTGTGGGGTTTCTTAAACTTTTGGGGATGGTGACAACAATACGTTTGACTTTACTTTTTTATTTCAGTTCCTTCCTAATGAAGAATATATCTCTGTTGTCCACGTTCATAAAGCATAGAACAACACCATCAGAGCACGGTGCAAAGTCTCTAGATGTCTTCCAGTAGTCCTCTGTCCAGAGAACTGTAGTTTCCTCCCAGCAGACGCACATTAAGAACATCCTCTGGTGCGTCATTAATACGTCTGATAGTGTCAGTGCTGTCAGATTCTCTTGAAGCCCGGTCGTCTTTTCCTAAGTCCTTTTGAATTCTCCTATCCATTATTCCTTAACCCTGTGACGTTTCACACAGAGGTCAAGGAATAGTGGATAGGGAAAGACGATAGGAGCTGATTTTTGGATGTTTTAATTCGACTGCAGCCTGGGTGTCACTAATACTCTGCAGGTTAGTGTGAGAACCGGATCACATTAGCTGTGGAGAGTTTCAGGAAGGGTTCTCGGGTTGAGTTGGCAGTGGTTCCTTGAATCACAGGCACTGTAAAAACCCGTCTGCAGAGAGGCACTCAAAGCATGAAGACGGCAGTGAGGAATAGTTGTTCGGAGCTCCTTTAAACAGCGCTGCACTTCCTTGTGGAGCAGGTTTTACTGCCAACAGGTGGAGATACTGCTCCAACCCATCAGATGGTTGATGTGTCATGTTTCCTCACACCAAAACAACCCGCTGAGCATTGTCTTTACTTCCTTGAACGTAAGGTTTCCTTTACCATTTACCTTCATTAAAAGTGTTGTTGTTCCTTATCCCCAACTTTCCACAAGCGGTTCAAAAAGAAGCCGTATGCAGTTCCTATGGACATCTGCAGAACATTCAACCATCACTGCTGATGGGGAAGTACTGTTGATGACTGTTGATGACTAAATCCATATTTACCATACTAAAAACTATAGTTAACTCCAACTAGAACTAAACTAATATGAATCTAACAGTGTCTGCTATTATGAAGAAGGAAGCTTACTTTATATACACTCAGAGGTACACCTGTACAATTAATCAGCTCTGCCAACAATTCTACCTTGAGGAATATATTATATAACATAATAATCAGATTTTGTTGATATTGTTATGTGTAAATGTAATGATATGTTTATTATTGAGGGGATGTTTAGCAGTGGTGGGGTACTGGAATGCAATCGTTGAGGTGTTTTTTTAAATACTTTTTCAGGAAACGAGTGCTTTTATTCAAGACACAGTGTTGACGGGGAGACGGAGGGAATGAGACGCAGGAACTGGTCCCAGAGCAGCCTGGAGCCTGTCCTCCGGTCGGGGTCCTAACACCAGACCATGGGCCCCAGCTCTACCAACTGAGCTTTACAACAGTGAAGAGTTTTTCATATTGAGACTACCTTGTGTATATAGACAGGGAGGACACATTCAAATAACATCAATATCATGGAGTAAACTGTAACTATGAGCTTAATGTTAGACCTATCAGGGAATTAAAAGCACTATGAGAGGCAAAAACACAAGAGGCATCATAACTGTATGTACTTTAAGAGCAAACTCAAGACCCACCTTTTTAATTTGGCTTTAACTGAAGTGTTTTTTATTCTTAATTTCTTGTTTGATGATTTGATTACAACAGTTGTAATGGAATATATTTTTATAATGATTGATTGTAGAGGCTAATATCAAAATATCAAATCTATGCATTAGAGCAGCGTCTATGGGACTGACCTTCCAGCTTGAGGTGCTGCGAGGCGCCCTCCGGCAGCGAGTGGAAGGAGTTCCCGGGGAAGTATGCGGAGGGGTAGAAGACGTGGGGCTTCCTCTGCTTCAGGATGTGCTGCAGCAGCTCGTACAGGACGTCCCCTGCAGAGGAAAGCTCACAGGTTAGCATCACTAGCATGTAGCGTCATCCAGAACTTCCCCTTCTTCTGCTCCTGCTTTCCAGGCAGCAGGGGGCTTGAGCAATAATGGAAGAGCCTCTGAGGGACAGACCCACATTACAGGGTTCTTTACTGGACTGGGCGCCATGGCAACACTTTATATTAGAAAAACATGTCTTAAATAATCCAACACCTGTAGAGCTGAGGCATTGCACAACATGAAGTGGATGTTGACACAGGTAGATGGGCCGTGGCTGTGTATGAGCTGCCCTTTAAGTGTTGGAGAGTAGTAGAGCGCAGACAGAGCAGGAAGTGGAGCCGATGATTAACAGAAGTGTGGCCTCTCACACACAAACATTTACAGTCAACACATAGCCCAGGTACAGAGGCCGTGATATTACAATAACAAGGAAATGAATCTCATGAAGAAAGTGATGGAACACACACACACACACACACACACACACACACACACACACACACACACACACACACACACACACACACACACACACACACACACCTTTCAGTTCTCACTTCCTTGTCCTGTGAAGTTCCATTATTGGGAAAGATTCCACCTCCTGATTCTTTTCGTCGTATGTGTTGATTTTACTGAGAGGGTTAACTGTCATGAACCTTTGGATGATTATTTATTGTACTGTACTTATGTTATTACCATCACTTTTTTGCTTACTTGTGTTCCTTGAACTGTTACATTATATTTGTATATGCTGCATGTGTGGAACAAGGTTTTAACTTTATTATTTAAAGTTTGCTTTGATTCTGGATTGAAAATGCTAGTGTTAGTCTTCACATGTGTCCAATGGGCTTATGAAATATCAGTATGAATCACAATTTCTAGGAAATGAGGAAACAGAGAAAGCTTCCAGTTAGTCAGACTGATCTATGGAACACACTTTAGGCTCTACATTTCTCATGTGTGAACTTTCTGCTGTGATTTAGCCTGCGACACAGTGAAGTTAAAACATTCCATAAAGTCAACGTTTCATTCTCAGAGCTTCTATAAAGTAAATATGTCTCACAGCAGGGGCTGATGGGAAGTGCGCGCTTACACTCCCCAAAAGGAGGATACAGACGCCAAAAGTTTTGCTCTGTTCCGCAAAATGACGCTTTCACTGATGTCACTGACAACAGAGCCAACAGCCAGCAGCATGAAAACGTCAAAACAGCTGTCAGCTTCAGCTAGCCTCACAGCTTCCTCTTTCCTCAGTGTGTTCAGCTTCCTCTCTCCTCTCTGTGTACAGCTTCAGCTAGCCTCACACTTTCCTCTTTCCTCAGTGTGTTCAGCTTCCTCTCTCTTCAGCTTCCTCTCTCCTCACTGTGTTCAGCTTCCTCTCTCCTCAGCTTGCTCTCTCCTCACTGTGTTCAGCTTCCTCTCTCCTCAGCTTCCTCTCTCCTCACTGTGTTCAGCTTCCTCTCTCCTCAGCTTCCTCTCTCCTCACTGTGTTCAGCTTCCTCTCTCCTCAGCTTCCTCTCTCCTCACTGTGTTCAGCTTCCTCTCTCCTCAGCTTCAGTGTTCAGCTTCCTCTCTCCTCTCTGTGTTCAGCTTCAGCTAGCCTCACAGCTTCCTCTCTCCTCACTGTGTTCAGCTTCCTCTCTCCTCACTGTGTTCAGCTTCCTCTCTCCTCTCTGTGTTCAGCTTCAGGACATCACTGTGTCCGAACTTCTACAGGTGCTGATGCATTCTACCACCAAATGCTCTGTTTGACATCATGACGAGTGAAGACAGATACTAAGAGATGTGATGGTGCGTCCCCACAGAGCTGCAGCAGGATGTGAACTACAGAGAGAAACAGCAGCAGCTGACAGCTGGACACATCATCCTCACAACATCATGTTAACTCACTTCCTGTTTACTTCCCATTTCAGGGAGGATTTAAAATGACTTAAAAGTTTAATTGTATTATATAAATACAAATGCATTATCAAATAAATAAATAAATAGATGATGGTAAGAAACTGCAAAATAAACGTCTTATACATATATATTTATTTAGATAAAAGATCTTGCAGCTTACTAAAATGAAGAGCAGCAGAAAGCTCCGCTATCACAGTGAATTCGGTTGCATTAATAAAGTCATAGAAAAAGATTAATGATTAATATATATTGATAATTGAGCAACATTGATGTATGCATCATGTATGCATTACTTTTGTTATGTGTTCCGTTGAGCTTTTAAGTCGTGTTTTATTTCTCTGGTTTCATTATTTATTTTATACTAATCAGCAGGGATGCTCCGATCGATCACCGATCGTTATTGGCCGATATTCACTCTCTGCCAATCTATCGGTGCTCCCTATAAAGGCCGATCAGGAGAGACGATCACATGACGTAAAATACATGACACTTTTCTCTGTGCGCAGCAAAACAAGCTCGCCAAAATGGCTTCACCAGTCTGGCAATATTTCAAGGTGTCCGAAACAGACATTAAAATCGCGGTATGCAAGGAGTGT